AAAAAAAAAAAAAAAAAACAAAAAAACAACAAAAAAAAAACACTGCCAAAAAAACATCGCATATGACACAAACAAATGGAAACACATCCCATGTTCACAGATGAGTAGAATCAATATTGTGAAAATGACCATACTACCAAACTCAATCTACACATTCCATGCAATTCCCATCAAAAATACCATCATCATTCTTCACAGTAATGGGAAAAAAAATCCTAAAATTCATATGGAACCAAAAAAGAGCCCACATAGCCAAAGAAATACTAAGCAAAAAGAAGAAATCTGGAGACATCACATTACCCAACTTCAAACTATACTACAAGGCTATAGTCACCAAAACAGCATGGTGCTGGTAGAAAAATAGGGACATAGACCAACGGAACTGACTAGAGGACCCAGAAATAAAGTCAGATACTTACAGCCAACCGATCTTTGACAAAGCATACAAAAAACACAATGTAGGAAAAAGACACCCTATTCAACAAATGGTGCTGGGATAATTGGCAAGCCACATGTAGAAGAATGACACTGGATCCTCATCTCTCACCTTACACAAAAATCAACTCAAGATGGATCAAAGACTTAAATCTAAGACCTGAAACCATAAAAATTCTAGAAGATAACATCAGAAAAATTCTTCTAGACATTGGCTTAGGCAAAGAATTGATAACCAAGAACCCAAAAGCAAATGCAACAAAAATAAAAATAAATAGATGGGACGTAATTAAACTAAAAAGCTTCTTCTGCACAGCAAAAGAAATCATCAGCAGAGTAAACAGACAACCCACAGACAGGGAGACAATACTCATAAACTATGCCTCAGGCAAAGAGCTAGTACCCAGAATCTACAGTGAATTCCAACAAATCAGCAAGACAAAAAACAAATAATTTCACCAAAAAGTGGGCAAAGGACATTAATAGACAGACCTCAAAAGAAGATATACAGACAGCCAACAAACATGAAAAAAATGCTCAACATCACTAATTATCAGGAAAATGCAATCTAAAACCACAATGAGATATCACCTTACTACTACAAGAATGGCCATAATTTTAAAAATCAAAAAATAATAAATGTCAGCATGGATGTGGTGAAAAGAGAACACTTTTACACTGCTGGTAAGAATGTAAACTAGTACAACTACTATGGAAAACAGTATGGAGATTCCTTAGAGAACTAAAAGTAGCACTATCATTTGATCTAGCAATCCCGCTACTGGGTATCTACCCAGAGGAAAATAAGTCATTACATGAAAAAGTCACATGCGGGCCGGGCGCGGTGGCTCACGCCTGTAATCCCAGCACTTTGGGAGGCCGAGGCGGGTGGATCGCGAGGTCAAGAGATCAAGACCATCCTGGTCAACATGGTGAAACCCCGTCTCTACTAAAAATACAAAAAATTAGCTGGGCATGGTGGCACGTGCCTGTAATCCCCGCTACTCAGGAGGCTGAGGCAGGAGAATTGCCTGAACCCAGGAGGCGGAGGTTGCGGTGAGCCGAGATTGCGCCATTGCACTCCAGCCTGGGTAACAAGAGCGAAACTCCGTCTCAAAAAAAAAAAAAAAAAAGAAAAAGAAAAAGTCACATGCATGTTTACAGTAGCACAATTTGCAACTACAAAAATATGGAACCAACCTAAATGTCCATCAATCAACAAGTGGATAAAGAAAATGTGGTATATACACACTATGGAATAGCTATAAAATGAAATGAAATAATGGCATTTGCAGCAACTTGGATGGAATTTGAGACCATTATTCTTTTTTTTTTTTTTTTTTTATTTTTTTGATACCTAGTCTCACTGTGTCACCCAGGCTGGAGTGCAGCGGTGTGATCTCAGCTCACTGCAACCTCCACCTCCCGGGTTCAAGCGATTCTCCAGCCTCAGCCTCCCGAGTAGCTGGGACTATAGGTATGTGCCACCACGCCTGGCTAATTTTTTGTATTTTTAGTGGAGACAGGGTTTCACCTTGTTAGCCAGGATGGCGAGACCATTATTCTAAGTGAAGTAACTCAGGAATGGAAAGCCAAATATCGTATGTTCTCACTTGTAAGTGGGAGCTAAGCTATGAGGATGCAAAGGCATAAGAATAATATAATAGACTCTGGCAACTGAGAGGGAAGGTTGGGAGAGGGGTGAGGAATAAAAGACTACATATTGGGTACAGTGTACACTGCTCAGCAGGTGATCAGTTGTATTAGTCCATTCTCACACTGCTATAAAGATATACCCAAGACTGAGTAAATTACAAAGGAAAGAGATTTAATTGACTCACAGTTCCACAGAGCTGGGAGGCGTCAGGAAACTTACAATCATGGCAGAAAGGAAAGCAAACATGTCCTTCTTAACACGGTAGCAGGAAGGAGAAAAATGAAAACCCAGCAAAGGAAGAAGCCCTTATAAAACCATCAGATCTCTGGCCAGGCACAGTGACTCACACCTATAATCCCAGCCCTTTGGGAGGCCAAGACAGGCGGATCGCCTGAGGTCAGGAGTTTGAGGCCAGCCTGGCCAACAAGGTGAAATCCTGTCTCTACTAAAAATACAAAAATTAGCTGGTCATGGTAGTACATGCCTGTAATCCCAGCTACTTGGGAGGCTGAGGCAGGAGAATCACCCAGGAGGCAGAGGTGGCAGTGAGCTGAGATCGCTCCACTGCACTCCAGCCTGGGCAACAGAGTGAGACTCCATCTCAAAAATAAATAAATAAACAAATAAAACCATCAGATCTCATGAGAATTAACTCACTATCACAAGAACAGAATGGGGGAAACCGCCTTCATGACTAACCATCTCTACCTGGTCCCTCCCACAACATGTGGAGATTATGGCAACTACAATACAAGATAAGATTTGGGTGGGGACACAGCCAAACCATATCACAGCTATACCAAAATCTCAGAAATCACTACTGAAGAACTTATCCATGTAACCAGAAACCAAAAACTTTTCAATGTATCCATGGAGATTTCAATGGCTCCCAACGCTATTGAAAGAAATAAAATAAGAGAAATAAGCTATCATACAGAAGGAAAGGAAAAAAAGACAGAAAATATGCAAGAGAGAAAGTAATGTTAGAGAATGAAATAGTAAACATACATTCCAAAAGACAGGTGAGATGAACAATCCAGAAAAAAAAGGAATCTAGGCTATGGTTTCCTGCCATGCCATACAAGTGAGTGAGCAACTATAGATAATTGTAACCAGAGCCCTAGTGATTTGGAATATCATATGTGAGATGTAAAACAAAAATAAGACCTTGTGTTTTTTTAATTTCATTTATTTAATCTTTAATTCCACTGACAGAATTATCCAGCCCTTGCTTAAAGGCTGAAAGTGACGGGGGGTTTATCACCTCAAGACGCAACTCATATACTGGAAAGTATCAATTTAAAAAACATCATCTTTAGGATTTCCACCTCCAAACAATATAGGAACTAAATACTCTGAAGGACCTTCCCGTTACAATCTAGTTCGTGCAATCTACAAACTAGATCCATAAGAGAGCATACTTTTCGAAGCATTACTGAGCTTACAGGAAGAAACAGAAGTCTCTAGGGATGAAAAACAAAAAGAACAAACAAAAAATAGTAAGTTAGCATGGAGTGGGAGTTGTAAGCAATAAGCAAACCCAAGGTCAGTGTTGTCTCCAGGAAAAATACCAACACTGAGAACCTGAGACTAAGCCTTGGGCTCACTCCAAAGTGAGAAACATGGGCAAGTGTAGGACTACTGCATGAATCCCAGATTCCAGAAGGGGGCACATGCAAATCATCTTTTCTGGAAAGTGTCCTGGATTCATGTCCTGAGGATGCCATGGCTAATGTCAGCCAAATATGAGCTCCACAAGCAAAGACTGCAAAATGTTAATGTAAATAAACCATCATGAATAAGACTCAGAAGAAACAACCAAGAGCAGATTTAGATAGTAAAAGTCTTCATTTACTAGTTATCAGAACTAGAATATAAGACTATGCATGAAATGTTTGAGAAATAAAAGACAGAATCTAAAAATAGGCTGGGCGCAGTGGCTCACACCAATAATCTCAGCATTTTGGGAGGCCAAGGCGGGCAGATCACCAGAGATTAGGAGTTTAAGACCAGCTTGGCCAACATGGTGATATCCCATCTCTACTAAAAACACAAAATTAGCCAGGTATAGTGATGCATGCCTGTAATCTCAGATACTCAGGAGGCTGGGGCTGGAGAATCGCTTGAACATGGGAGGCAGACGTTACAGTGAACCGTCATTATGCCATTGCACTCTAGCCTGGGTGACAAGAGTGAAATTCTGTCTCAAAAAAAAAATCTATAAATGAATGAGCAATAAAATTATTATATATGATGAGACAGATGTGGAAACAAACCAAT